TGGCTTTTCTTAAAGGTGCCTTACTGTATTTAGAAAATATAAAAACCTCAGGCTGTAATTTTGACATTAAGAAAGCCAGCCCACTGCTCCCTTCCTTCCAAGGTTTTCTAGTAAAGGCAATCCTGACAGTTCATTCTCTAAACCCAAATACAACACAGTGGAGTGTGTGTGTCTGCATGCATGAACTTTTTTATTCCACCTCCAGTGCTCTGGGTTTTTCCAGATTTTCTGATGCATAGCCCACTAAGTGCTCAGTCACGTCTGAGTGTTTGTGACCCCATGGACTGTAGCCCACCAGGCTCCTCTGTCTGTGGAATTTTCCAGGCAAGAAATACTGGAGTGACCCACTCCATGGGGTCTTCAAGACCCAGGGATTGAACCTCTGTCTCTTGGGTCTCCTGCATTGGCAGGTGGATTCTTTACCACTAGTGCCACTTGGGAAGCCCTTGCTTCCACCTTGGGAGCTGACCATGGAGTGTACCCAACACATGGGACTGCAGTTAAAGCCCAATTTGGAAAAACAAAAATACAACTGCTCATGTTTATGCCTCAACTCTGAAGACAATATGAGTTTCCTGAAGTCAAATCCCATGTCTTGTAAAGAGCCGTTTCCGAGCTTCGCTCCCTACTTGCAGAAATAGAGACTAGTGGGTTGGCACTGTGAGACAGGTATAGCCTCGCTCCTCATGGCCTGAATTCCAGCCCCAACCAGCAGCTTCCCTGTTGGAGTGGTCACTCCTCACAATGAGCAGGACGCTCACTGTCAGGGTCACTTATAGATTAGACTCCAAACACCCTTCTTCTCAGAAGATGCTCCCAGGATCAGGAGATGATGACCTGGTCCTCAGATGATCCCTGATGATGAGAAAGGCAGAAGAGTCTTGGAATTTGGGTCCTGGGACTTGAGGAAGGAGGGAAAATGGGGTCCCTGTGCCCTCTGCTGAAAAGGAAAGGGAGTTAGGGGTAACTTCCCTGGTGGTTCAATGGGTAAGACTCTGTGCCCCCAATGCAGAGAGCCCGAGTTTGATCCCTGGTCAGGGAACTAGATCCCACATGCCACAACTAAGACTCATTGCAGCCAAGTAAATAAACAAAGAATAGTTTAAAAGAGGAAAGGGGGGCTAGAATCTTTTTTTCATTATCGATCCGTTGGTCATCCTCTAGCACAACATTTAAAAGTAGCCTTTTGCCTTCGATTTTTAATGGATGTATCCATTTACTTGGGCTTCCCAGGTGGCTCAGTGGTAAAGAATCTGCCTGCCAAGCAGCAGATGCAGGTTCGATCCTTGAGTCGGGAAGATTCCCCTGGAGAAGGAAATGGCTACCCACTCCAGTATTCTTGCCTGGGCAATCCTATGGACAGAGGAGCCTGGTGGGATACAGTCCATGGGGTCGCAAAGAGTTAGACATGACCCAGTAACTAAGGAGCAGCAGCAGAATCCATTTATGGAGCCATTCCTCCTGCAGAACGAGTATATCAAAACACTGCATACAACGCAGACCCCAACTAAAGAACCTCTACTACTAAAAAAATGATGAAAATCAAAAATCACTATTTGGCAAATACCATAATAATAATTATAGCAAGCAAGAATCATCAATGGATGCTAAAATTACTGGGAGAAAGTAGGAGGAGGAACAGCATATTTGTCTAGACTCCAAATATCTCCCCACAATATACTTATTAATGACAAAGGGAGAAATAATTACACAACAGGGGAGAAACCTGGCTAAGACACCACCTTAACCAAGTGATCAAAGTTAACATCAGCAGTATTGATTCTATGTGCCTCTTAATATGTGCCCCAAGAAAGGTACAACATGCCTTTCACAATCTCCTTCCCAAGAATGCATAATCTCCATCAAATAACTGGCTAGTACTTTCACAAGTGCTGAAGTCATGAAAGACAAAGACCAAGCAATGGCCCCAGACTGGAGGAGACTAAGGAGATAAGACAACTTAAATGTAAAATGGGGAAAATAAAACCAGAAAAATGAGATGAGTAGGATGGTTGGTAAAATTTAAACAATGTCTTAGTTTAGAGTATTATATCATTGCTAATTTCCTGACTTGGATAATTGTACTATGGTTGTAAAAGATATTAACCTTAGGAAAATGCTATAGATTCAATGTCTGTGTTTCTCCAACCCCACCTCTAAATTCTTATGTTGAAACCTAATCCCCAGTGTGATGGTATTTCAAGGTGGGGCCTTCTGGGAAGTGATTAGGTCATAAAGGTGGAGCCCTCATGAATGGGATTAGCACCCTTTTAAAGACCCCAGGGAAGATACATTTAGAAGAGGACTGTCTATGAACAAGGAAGAGAGCTCTCTCCAGATAAAGAATCTGGCAACACATTGATCTTAGACTTCTCAGCCTCCAGAACTGTGAGAAATAAATGTTTGTCATTTAAACCCCCCAGTCTATGGTGGTTTGATCCAACAGCCCAAAAAATGGACTAAGGGAAGTTGGTAAAAGGAAAAGCTACACAGAAACTCTATTTACTAGTTTTTGCAACACTTATATAAATATAAAATTAAACTTAAACAAAGTTTGAAAAAAACACTTTAAATTATTAAAATATATATATGATAATGTGATTGAAACATGGTCTGGAATGGCTAAATTAGGAAACGACCTAAATATCCATCAATTGAGGGAATGGGAAATAAATGATGATGCTTTTCTACAGTGGAATACTACACAGCTGTTAAAAAGGAGGTGTCTCTATGGGAATATATTGCAAAATATTTTCCTGGGGGAAAACTAAGTTATAGAACAAAATAACATCACTTAATATTTGTTTAAGAAAATATGTTTACAATCAGGGACAAAGAGAAGAGTAGCAGCCAAGGGTGGGGAGCCTTGGGAGTTTGGGATTCAGTTCAGTTCAGTTCAGTTGCTCAGTCGTGTCCGACTCTTTGAGACTCCATGAACTGCAGCACACCAGGCCTCCCTGTCCATCACCAACTCCCGGAATTTACTCAAATTCATGCCCATCGAGTCGGTGAAGACATCCAGCCATCTCATCCTCTGTCGTCCCCTTCTCCTCCTGCCCCCAATCCCTCCCAGCATCAGGGTCTTTTCCAACGAGTCAACTGTTCGCATGAGGTGGCCAAAATATTGGAGTTTCAGCTTCAGCATCAGTCCTTCCAATGAACACCCAGGACTGATCTCCTTTAGGATGGACTGGTTGGCTGCAAACTAGTATATACAGAAAGGATAAACAACAAGGTTCTACTGTTTAGCATAGGGAACTATATTCAATATCCTGTGATAAACCAAAATGTAAAAGAATATGAAAAAGAATATATATATATGCATATGCATAACTGAGTCACTTTGCCACACAACAGTAATGAACACATTGTAATTCAACTATACTTCAATAAAACATAAATTAAAAAAGAAGAAGAAAATACATTCACAGATATACATATATGTGGAGAAAAAAATCTGGAATGATATTTTAACAATAGGATTATGGAGGTGACACTGGAAGAGGAGAGAATGTTCATTTTTTACTTTACTCAGTTATTACCAAATGCTTGAACTTCTTTTTAGCAGTAAGGATATATCACTATCTTCATAATAAAAACAAACAATAATAATTCTGGCCTAGGAGCATACTCCTGTGGGTCCCACCAATTCATGCTGCAGGCTGATTCTGGGTTCAACTCCATGCTGAGTCCTATAGTGGGCAGCACTGTGTGGGCACAGGCCCCAACTCAGGGGCTCACTCTTCATCTTGGGTGATGAAAACTTATCCAACTCATGATGACCCTGTGATGGTTAATTTTATGTGTCACCTTGGTCAAGCCACAGTACCTAGCTCTTTGGTCAAATGTGAATGGATGTTGCCATGAAAGTATTTCTTTAGATGAGATTAACATTGAGGGAGTAAACTTTGAGTAAAGCAGATTACCCCTCCATAATATGGTGGGCCTCATTCAATCAGGTGAAGGCCTTTAGAAAAAGACTGACCTCCCCTGAGGAAGAGGAAATTCTGTCAGTGGATTGCCCTCTGACCTCAGCTGCAACAGCAATTCTTCCCTGGGTCTCCAGAGCCTACCCTGCAGCTTTTGGAGGTGCCAACCCACTCCAACCACATGAGCCAATTCCTCAAAATTCTCCCATATAATCTACTACCACACATTACTGGTTCTGCTTCTTTGAAGAACCTTGCCTAAAACAGACCCCCCACACAAATGTCCCCTTAGTGGAGGGCACAAAGTGTTCTCTTAACACAGAAGGGAGAGGGATTTGCAGTTTGAGGAGGGTGGTTCCAGGCAGAAGATGAGGAAGGGTCTTTGAAACAGAAACCTAGGGCTGGAGAGGAGTAGGGGTGAGGGGGTAAGGAGTCCAGTTCCTGGAGCTGAAGCAAGGCCTGAAGGGGCAGAGGATAAGGAGGCAGGCAAGGCTGGGTCTCAGAGTCCCTGGATGTCTAGTCACCCATTCAGACCTCTCTCTCCGAATGCTGAGGAGCTCCTGAGAGCTTGGAGTGGAGGACACTGGAGACAGAAGCAAGGCAGTGGAGGGGGGCGGGGCTTGAGGTGGGCACAGCCATGAAAGGGGCAGGGCTGTGGTGGGGTGGGGCTGGGCATAGGCGGGGCTTGGGTGGGTGTGGCTTGAAAGGGGCGGGGGCTGTGGTGTGGTGGGAGGGACTTGTGGTGGGTGGGGTTGTGAGGGGTGGGGCTTGAGGTGGGCAGCTCTTGAGAAGAGGGGCTTGTGGGGTTGTGTGTGTGTGTGAATGGCTTCGCCTGGACCTTTTGCTCATCAAATATCCACTGGATTATGAGGATCTTTCAGCTGGGGAGTAAGTCCCTTTCGTCTCCGCACACACATTGTCCCCACACCCCAACACAAAAGGTGCTCCATAAATGCGTGCCCGACTCTGTTTCCAGGCGTCAGCCCTCCTACCCCAGCAGCTCTGCTAGAGCTGGGTCCACCCAGAGGAAGTGAAAGGGAAAGCAGAGCTGGCCAGCCCTGCGGCCGTTACCTCACGAGGTTGGCGCAGGGGCCGGGCCACCGACAGCTCTGGTACACGCGCTGGACCACCGTCTCCGAGCCGTTCTGCACCTGGCAGGACACCGTCCGTGTCACCGTGTGATGGCACCAGTGCCTGTGGGGAGAGCAACGGTCACGTCAGTCCCACCTGTTGCCCAGGTGTCTGACTGTGGATCAAAAGGCCGTCCGAGGCAGAAGGGGCCCCTCCGCATGCCTGCAGGGCCACTGCTGCTGAGCAAGGGGCCCACTGAGACCCTCTGCCCGGTCAAAGGGAGAGAGTAGCCACACCCCTTAGCCATCAAGCCCCCCCCCCCCCCCGCCCCCCGCATCATTCCAGTCTTCCAACAACTCCGTGTGAAATCAGGATGGGGCTGTACCCCTGCCAGGAAATCCCCCTCTGGAAGGGAAGACTGTGGGGAGATGATTAGAACACACTGGAACGTGGGGTCATAGGGAAAAATCACAGGATGAGCATGGGGCTGTGAAACTGTGGGAACCCAGCAGGGCCCCCAACCCAGGTCCTAAGAAAGGGCTCCTGCTGAGAACCGAAAGATCCAAGTCAGCCAACCCTAAGTGTAGGGGCAAAGAGTGGGGACAATCCGCAGAAGAGACAGCAGAGTGAGCAAAGGCAAGGAGCTGAGACGGACCATCGTGGGTTCAGAGACCTGCCTGCGGCCAGAAGACTGGAGGAAGGGGAGGAGCCAGGAGACAGGAAGAGGCCTGGAACCTGCCAGGCTAGAAGTGGGTCTCATCCTGACGTTGGTGGGAGCCGCTGAAAGACTCTGAGCTGTGGGCAATGACTCAGATGGCTCTGATTTTAGAAAAGCCCCTCTGGTGCAGTGTGTAAGAGCTGAGGAGGCCTGACTGGGACCCAGGGAGCTCGGGGTGCAGAACATGTGCAAACAATATGGTGATTGGATCAAGAAGGCAGACACCACCCCCCTCCCATCTCCAGATCCTAGAAATTGAAAATCTAAAAGTAAGTCCCCCATGAAATCATCAAGATGGTGGCAGAGGAGGTCCCTTACTCAGTAACCCCCCCCCAGTAACAATAATTTGGCAGTTGTCCTCAGACAAAATTGCCTTTGTGGGAGCTTTGGGATTTTTGCAAACTATTTATCTGATAAGGATTGATATCAAAATATATAAGGAACTCATAAAACTCAATAGCAAAAATTAATAATAATCCATAAAAAATGGCCAAAGAATCTGAATAGACATTTTCCCAAAGAATACATGTAGAATACATACAGATGGCCAACAGACACATGAAAAGGTACTCAACATCAGTTTGTGAAAGTCGCTCAGTCATGTCCGACTCTTTGTGACATGATCCCATGGACTATACAGTCCATGGAATTCTCCAGGAAGAATACTGGAGTGGGTAGCAGTTCCCTTCTCCAGGGGATCATCCTAACCCAGGTCTCCTGCATTGCAGGATTCTTTACCAGGTGAGCCACCAGGCAAGTCAAAGAATACTGGAGTGGGTGGCCTATCCCTTCGCCAGGGTATCTTCCCAACCCAGGAATCGAACTGGGGTCTCCTGCATTGCAGCAGGCTCTTTACCAGCTGAGCTACCAGGGAAGCCTCATCAGGGAAATGCAAATCAAAATAAGATATCACCTCACACCTGTTAGGATGGCTGTTATCAAAAAGATGAGCCAACAAGGGTTGTTGAAGGTGGGGAAAAAAGGGAACCATGGTACAGTGTTGGTGGGAAGGTAAATCGGTGCACCCATTATGGTAGGTTCCTCAAAAAAATTAAAAATATAATTATTTTTATATAGATAGATATTTATTTATATATTTATTTTTATATAAATAGAATTATAAAAATAGAATTATATGATCTAGGAATCTCACTTCTGGTTTATCTATCCAGTTCAGTTCAGCTCAGTTGCTTCTATCCAAAGGAAACAAAATCAGTATCCCAAAGAAATATCTGTACCTCCTTGTTCACTGCAGCATTATTCACAATAGCCAAGATGGAAACAACATAAGTGTCCATCAACAGATAAATGGATAAAGAAAATGTAGTGTACATATACAAGGGAATGCAATTATTCGACCATAAAAAAGAAAGGAAACATTACCATTTGTGACAACATGGATGAATCTAGAGGACATTATGCTAAGGGTGTAAGTCAGACAGAGAAAGACAAATCTGTATGATCTCATTTATAAGAAGAATCTGAAAATGTCAAACTCATAGAACCAGAGAGTAGGACAGTGGTTGTCAGGGGAGAGGGGGATGGGAGAGATGGGGAGATGTTGGTCAGAGGATACAAAATTCCATTTATAAGATGAATAAGTTCTGGGGATCTAATGTACAGTTTAGATCTGTACAGGGTGATTATGGTTCATAATACCATACTGCTCACTTGAAGTTTGTTAAGAGAATAGATCTTCAGTGTTCGTACTTATGTTCTTATACACATAAAGAAAGGAGCTATGTGAAAAGATAGATGTGTTAATAATCCATGGTAATCATTTCACAATGCATATGCAATTAAATCATCACATTGTAAACCGAAAAAAATCAAGTTGTACAATCTGAATACTTTTTAAATTTGTCAATCAGAATTCAATAAAGCAGATAATACAAATAAAAAAGTCCCTAGGAGCATTGGAAAACAAAAAGCAGTGGGACAGGTACTTTGAGGAATTTGAGGAGCTAAAAGCACCAGGGACTTAATGGAAGGAGGAAGCACAGTCCAAAACACACAGGGAAGAATGGGTTCAAGGTGGGTGCACTGTAGGAGCAGCAAACGTGGCTAATGGGAGAGGGCAGGGGCGCAGAGGTGACTGTCAGAGGACCACAGTAGAAGGAGCCAGACAGGTAGGACCAGGATTCCTAGCCTTGCTGGTGTCAAGAATCAGGCATTGGTGTCATACAGATGAAGTAAGTTAGAAAAACACGTATGTATATTAACACATGTATGTGGGATCTAGAAAAATGGCATATAGATGATCTTATTTGCAAAGCAGAAGAAGAGACACAGACATGGAGAACAAATACACAGATACCCAGGGGGAAAGCGGAGGGGTGGGGGTGGGGGGTGGAATTGGGAGACTGGAATTGACACTTACTGTTGCTACTGTGTATAAAATAGATAAGTAATGAGAACATACTGTACAGCACGGGGAATTCTAACGCACTGTTGTGACCTGAACGGAAGGAAGTCCAAAAAGGAGGGGATGTAGGTATAAATATGGCTGATTCATCTTGCTGTTCAGTAGAACCTAACACAACATTGTAAAGCAATACTTCATTAAAAAATTAATTAAAAAAAAAGAATCAGGCATTGAACTCTTCTGTTTCATGGCGGGTGTGATCAGAATGGGTGCCTCAGAGGCTGATGACCTCCAGGAAAAACTGGGACTCTCTCAAGGTCAGACCGCTGAATTCTTGAACATTCTTTATCCTCTACCTATTCCACCAACCCACCAAAAGGCAAAGCAGCAATGAACCGGGAAACAGAAACAGCTAATGGAAAACCCCAAATGCCAAGAATTTCGAACTATTTAAGAAAAAAAGGCCAATACCCTGAAAGGCACTGACTCAACAGAGAATAAATCACGCTTCAAGAAAAAATAATGAATGAAGCAACTGGAGATGCTGCCTTATGGAGATGGTTGTCTCCAGTGTAATTAATGTCCTCAAGGAGACATAATTTTTCACACATAAGAAATACTATGAAATGAAAAAGTTAGATACCTTGGAAATGAAATATGACTGGGAAAAGAAAACAGCTCAACCGGTGAGCTGAAAATACAGAGCAGACAAATTAATGAATGAGCTGATGAATGAATAACGTGAGCCACGACCTCTCCAAGGATGCACTGCAAAGGGACACAGAGATGGAAAATGTGTGAGCAAAGGTGAGGTACCCAGAAGACAGACCAAGTTCCAACACACATCTATGAGGGGAGACCAGAGAGAGCACAGGAATGTATAGACTTGAAGCGATAATAAAGACTACGTCCCAGAGCTAAAAAAAGACATGAATTCTTGTGTGTGTGTGTGAACAATTTTTTCATTTTTAAATATTTTTATTGAAGTATAATTGATTTACAATGTTTTAGGGCACAGCAAAGGGATTCAGTGTTATATATATATATATATATATATATATATATATATATATACACATATATATATGTGTATATACACATACATATATATTCTTTTTCAGATTCTTTTCCATTATAGATCATTACAAGATACTGAATATAGTTCCCTGTGCTATATAGTAGGTTTTTACTGTTTACTTCATTTATGTATAGTAGTGTGTATCTATCTGTTAATTCCAGATTCCTAATTTATCCCCCTCCTATCTTTCCGCCTTGGTAATCACAAGTTTGTTTTCTATGTCTGTGAGTCTATTACTGTTTTGTTAAGAAGTTCATTCGTATAATGCTCTTAGATTCTACATATGAGTGATATCCTACGATATTTGTAAGACATAAGTTCTTAATTCAAAAGGGCCCACTGAGTGCTAAGCAAGATGAACAAAGAAATGAATGAAAGTGAATCAACAAAATCAAACACAGGCTTTTAAAAAATCAGATAGACAAAATTTGGATAATTATTGTTGAGAAACAAACAAAATACATAAGTAGACACTGAGGACAAGAAAAAAATTTCATACAGAGATTAGACATTGTAAATAAATATTGTGTCTGATCGTAACATCAAAATTTTTCAAAATCTCGACAACTGGACAATTTTCAAGAAAAATATATTGGCGCTGTCAAAAATACCATAAAGAACATAAAAAAGTAGTCAAAAGTCGACCCCTTTCCCCAAAGGCACCAATTAACCTGGTTCTGCCACCAGTCTGCTGCGTAACTTGAACCGAGCCTCAGTGAAATAAAAAAGTCTACCTCTCAAGGTTATTGTGAGGATTAAATGAGCAGGTCCAAGCTACTGGTGTGTGAACGACATGGCACTACCTACCCCAAGGTGTCACGACTGATTAGCTGGCCACTTGAACCCCACAATGTTCATAAAAGTGTAAGAATTGTCCTTCCTACTTTTACAGATGGGAAAATAAGTGGTGGGAGGTGAATTTCCACTGCCCATGACTCAAATCAGAGGCCAAGTTGGGAAGG